TGAATACGTGAAATGTGGCATGAGCTTGGCACGCGGTTTGCGCCGATGAAGAAAGCATTCAAATTGTAATACCCGGATAAATTTGATTGAAAACGCGATCATCATTTCTCTCGTTCGGCTGTATATGTTTTGCTCATAAACAAGATAAAAGTCCCTTGTTGTCTGAAAAATGCGCAAAATCTGTTCTTTTACCGAGACGTGGGATTATTATTTCTCTAATTGCGCACTGTCTGACACGCGCGTGCGGAGATCGATTTACGTAAAGTATACATTTTGCGAATCGACAGGTTTACTATTAAACTCTCTCTAAATTCTGTTTGCTATTAAATTCTGAAACCTATTTGTTAAACCACTAAGTTTTTGGCACTGCGTGACACGGCTTGTTTTATATGTAGATCCTCTTTCAATTTTCATTTATAATGAATATGCATGCGCGTTTTTATCCGGGAATTCATATCGGCATCACCAGCGCATCGCGGATAAAGTTCGGAATTATTCCACCAAATTATTACGTACTTTTGCATTATGATAACCCTATTGTTTTAAACTGCGCGCTATCACACGTGTGAGACGCGCATTCACGCGAGCGTGTATATTCTCGGAGTTTAAATTTGTCGATCGATTTTCGAAAAGCAGCCTTTTTCTCGAACGCGACACCCATCACGATGCATTTAAATGAACCTCCGGTGCAAAACGCTTTAATCCATTTTATACCGCTCGCGTTTATCAAACACAAGTGTTTCGCAAAAACGAACCAAAAAAATAAACGAGATAGCGACGTCTAACAAGGTTGGAAATAGCATCAAAGAATCGAAAGCGTTCTGCCGAGGGCGCTTTATCTCCGAAACAAAACATACCAATGTCATTAATGGGTCAATACTCGGGCGAAGGTATTCATGGAAACATTGAAAAACGACGTCAACGTTTAAAAAATTTAGGTCTCAAAGTACAACGGGTAGAGACTCTCACCGTTCTGATTCTGTTTACCCATCGAGCAAACAAGGTTCGCACATATTTTCTCATGCCGTTGTATACGTTGCTCGTTCACATCGAGAGTGTACGATCCACAGAAGAAATAACACTGCCGCTCGTTATCGAGAACTACGTGAGCTCCGCTAAATATTACAAGCGGAATCGGAAGTACGTCGAGACAAACCGTGTGTGCACTTCGTATTCGTTCGTAAGTAGATTACGTCGGCGCGCAACACGGATGGTCGATTCACGCGTCTTGCGTGAATCAACGATCGCGATTTTCACGCTGATTGTCAGCTCCGCTTAATGCGCGACAGCGCGTGCACGGAAAGCCGTTTCCGGTGTACGTCGGATTTTCCATAATCTCGGCAGAATACGTGGCGCGCATGCATACGTGTGACACGGCCGAGGTGCGACAGAAGGTCGCGAGAATTTTCCTCCAGTCGATCTCGATCTTCAAACGACGCCGCGCCTTTTTGCGCCCGGCCGAGGCGCAATCTCGGTCGCGAAGCACGCTCTTGGCAAAACAATAGTTTCGACCGGTAATCCCGGAGTGTGTTTTAATCTGAAAGAACCTCGGGTACGCCGCTGATTGCATTGCATAGTAATCTTAGTTTTTATCGCGTCTCGAGATTGGTGGAGGTGCCGGCCGGGGGTTGTACAACACCTCGCGCTGGATATCGGGGTCAGACCGGTGCAACCCCTGCATTATACACGCCATCGCATATAATCTCGAGAAGAGTAAGAGCGCGCAACGGGTTTGCGAGAAAAAAATAGAAAGGAACTATCTGCTGGTATCAGTCGTCCGATATGCCGATAGCATGCGGCACAAGCCACGATTACCGAGATTCCTTATTCATGTACTCGTTCATTATGCAAGTTCCAACGTGCGAATGAATGTCTGCGTGGTACTCATGCTTCACATCTATCTACGTGCACTTATCAAATGGGACTTTTGCAGAGAAAAGCTCTGCTGGCCTCGATATCAGCTCCTTCAAACCGAACAGTTGATTTCGTACAAATGTTTCTCTTCATCGAAAACAACGGAGATATTTTAGAGCAAAACGTTAAGCAACGTATGTGTGTGTTTGCGTGTGTGCGTGTGTGACAACTCAGTTTCCACACGATACATAATAATGGAAGTCGCAAAAAATCAATGCGTGCGAATAACTGTAATACCCTGTGAAGTAAAAGTGTTTGGAAAAAATATCGACAGCAGCGAATCGTAATTTTAATTGATAAAACCAGCGTGTAACCAAGGGTGTACAATTAAATGTTGCTGGATCGGAGAAGCTTCACGTGTATCGTAAAACAACGCGTCTCGACGACACTACGTCCGTGCCAATCCGGCAATTTGGCGCGCGTATCTATCTACCGGATCTTGTCGTGGCTTCCTTCAATCTCGAGGCAATATCTAGGGCCTCACTCTTCCTGCACGGTGGTTAGTGAACTGCGGGTGTTGCGTTTAACACTTCCCACCGGCGATAATTAATTACTGCAGGAGACCTTTTAGGTTGTTGGCCACGACGCAACGCAATTATCGCGAGCAGTAATGACGCGAAATTTATGCATTGTGACAAATTTAGGGCACCGTGGCAACATTAAATCACGCACAATGCTCCAAGCTTTTCTTCGAATCCCCGAACTAACGTCTCTCCGCGAAAGTCATATTGCGGGAATCGATACGCCACTTCCGACATTATTGTCGCTTTTTGTTCTGCGAAACATGGACGTGCTTCCTGTTCTTACAAGTCGAAATGTGTTTAATATAACTTACTTCCACGAGTTTCTCCAAAGTCTCGCTTTAAATTGCAAACTTTCCAAATGACGTTACAAATAATTGTCAAAAATGTAATATGTGTGTTTGCGTGAGAAACATTCTTATCTGAAGAAAATTGTCTGAGAAAATGTACGTCGGTTTAATCCTAAAATGTCAAGATATGGGCGAGATAACCTTCATCAGAGTTGGCGTTAAAGTTCAAGCGAGAACTGTTACTTCTCGAAAATGGTACTGTGGGGAAACGACAAATGAGAATCGATCGTCTCATGAAACCCTCGTGTGAAAAAGGAACGCTACGGCAGTGAAGTCGGTAATATTGAAATCGATACGAACACGTCGGAAATAAACTGACGCGACAATGACTTAATCGGATTACGCACGGTTTGCATTCGCAAATTCGAACGTACGCACGATGGAAATCAAGGTATATAAGTGCTCAAAACATTCATCAGCTTGCACGCATGGATATGCGGTTAAAAAGTGCTGCTGCGGTGACCAAAGTTGCACAAGGATAAGGGGAGGAAGGGGAGAGTGGCTGTATAAAATTTTCGACGTATAAAGCGCAGTTTTAAATGAAATACTCGAACGAAAACGCGGCGAGTTTCCAATGCAGAATTAATGGTCTCATAAGTAACGAATGAAAATTACGCTTAAAAGCACTGATTCGCGGGAGCTATCTGGAAAAAAAGAGCAGATTCGACGGCCGAATTAAATTCCGCGAGAGTCATTCGTGAATCGATTGCACTTAGCTTAGTTTTATGACCGCGCGAAATTTAACAAAAAGTTAAATCGTCTTCGCTTTTCGAAATACCGATTAATCGCGTACAATTAAGCATGTAGCGTTTGCACAAATTATTTTAAGCTGAATAATTAAAGTAATAAATCGAAAATAATTGGAGAGACCATTTATTTATATAGGTTGTGTGGGAAAAACTGCATTCTCGTTATGTATTAATTAAAAACAGTAACGATCAATATTTAACCTATGAAAACAGTTTTCCGATGTAAATTAAAAAATAATTCTCTCTGTGTCTGTATTTAGCTGTTACACCTCACTCTGGTTGTCACGTTGATTATATACGTCGATGCCGATACATTAGAACGTTAATCACGATTAGTTTACACACGCATCTAATTAAGCGGATGTGTATATAATTCAAATGAGTCGCAAGGCGAACTGTATTTATACGTTGTCGCTAATTATGCAGCTTGTTTCTCACGTCGGACATGGTAATTTTCTGTCTCGCGCCGTGTCAATTGGAAGAGTAATCCAACGTGTCAATGAGAAAAAACGCGACAACGAAATGAACATCCTATCCGTCCGTCGGGACGATGCATACGCATTACTCGTCACTCATTTCAACGGGCTCATTCCTCTCGACGTCTGATTCTGTTCGCTGCTTTCGCGAATATTTCATTACTGCCATTTCTCGACTTCCAGAGTTACGAGAAGCTGGGACAGTCGTTAATTACGTGAAATTCCACTATGGTCTGCTTTCGTTTGCATGATAATTCCCTTCTACGATGATCATTGGAAATGAAACGAAGCTGACGAGAACACCTTCGTAATAGCTTCATATCATCGCAAAAATATGGCCAAAGTTCGTATACTCTCAATTCACGAGAGTTCAACTATATCGCTCATTTTTCCATTTGTTTTCTGCAATGTATTTTTTTTTTATATAATAGGCAGTATTTAACGAAATGTGCAACATTAGCGAAAACATAAAATTATTCGCAATTTCAGTTTTCTCGATATAATGTTGAAACAAAGTGGTGTAACGATAGGAAAATTTACGAAATATAATAGCGGCTGTGGTTAGAGAACTTCAAAAATACTCAGTTCACCGTTGGAAATATGCTTGCTAATTTATCGACGTCGAGTACGCAAAGTTTTATCGAGAAAGAAAGGGGCATGTAACACTGTGCGAATTGAATCCATTAGTTATCACGTGAGGAGATATAACGCTGCTAGAATGGTTCGATGAAAAAGATTTAATTTCCGATACAATACCGTGTGTATGCCAAGTTTTACACGACGTTGTTTCCAACGTAATAATACCTCCTACTATGCTCCGTGCTCGTTAAAAACGTTAACATCACTAATGAAGAAATAAATGAGCGTGCTCACTGAATCAAGGATGCAGTAAAAAGTTAATGATACCCCGGATCACGTCGCGCAGATATATTTGCGGATTGCGACACAGCGATAATAGTCAACTGTATTTCTAGAAAAGTTACTACTCACCGGTGCTTTTCACGGTTGGAGACGCCGATGGTTGCGCGCACAGGACGTGCGTACCCCATAAGAGCGCCAGGGCGACGCAAAAAAACTTCATAGTGGTCATCGTGAGCGGCTATTCCATGGAAATCCTGAAATGCACAAAGTACCAATTTTTCTTTACTATCTGCAGCATCTTTGCGGCGCGAATAAACATTCCGTCTTTAGCGATGAAACAATTTAACGCTTTCAAATGCCTCATTAGTTACTCTCCGTTCCTTCGACGTATCTACATTTTTCTCCTCGAGATACGCTATTTTGCAATCTCTATAGATACCTGGATAGATAGATAACTCAAAGCTTGTTCATCCATAGCTTTACGTCTACACACAATCCAGCAGAGATAGATCGACTTCGTTGCAATGTTTCACACCGTGAATGGTAACACCGTTGCATCGCGTCGCTTCCTCGTTTTCCCACGCGATACTGCCTCGGGCATGAGGGAAAAAAGGGTGATACAACAATAGCGTGTCGACTCACCGCGAAATGAGATTCTGATACCGCGACTCGATCGTCGTGTTTACATACGCAAGTGTGTCACGATATAATATTAAATGTGGAGAACGAAAGGATTTAACTCGGGAGATTCCGTGACGAGTGCTCCGTTTTCGGATTCGTTGAACGACGAACCGAGAATTTAACCATCAGACGTATGGAACTCTCTCAGTTTCAACGAGAAGTTTTTTTTTATCGAGAGCGCCTATGAGCTGAGTCTGCACGCAAAGAAATGAATGACTTGGTAATAGCAGCTCAATTCTTTCTCCGAATGTACAGCCCGGGGCTGACCGAATGAAAGTTTCGAGAACTCGGGTCGCTGCGGGGATGTAATAAGGGTGTGACAGGTAGTAAACGAAACCGGGAAGGCTGATTTATCGTAAATTAATACGCCACGGGAAATACTCGGCGTCGTTTGCGGAGAGAACGAGGATAGGAAGAGAATTTAAAATAGATTTGCACGGACGAAAAAATACTCGTCGTCGGTTGTGGTCGTTCTCCTCCCGCGACTTATCGCGACTGAGATAACGACGAGCCGGGGAGGACCGTGCAGGCGACTAAGGCACATTGATGGTCGGCCGTTAAGAGGATGGAGGAAGAAGCTCGCGACTAGATGGATCCGCGCCGGCGAGGGTGGGATCCCGCACACAAGCGTCGTAGTCGCGAGAGCTGAATCACAGAATGGATAGATCGTAGATAAGTAGTGATCTTGCCTCTCGGTCCGGCTTAAAGCGACGGAAGTCGAGCGCGGTGTGACTCGGAGCGTAAACCCAGCCCGGGAATTTCGCGCGTTGGAAAACGAGCCAAACGATTGGACGCGCGCTCCTCCTCTTGACAACTACCTAAACCCACTTCCGGATGGTTAGAGCGAGGACGGTTCTTATCATACTGAATTTAATATCAACAGCAATTCGCGACATAATACATACCTGTACACACACCGTTAAAACAAATGAGGTTTCACAAGCAACGTTATAAATTCTACAACGCGTTGCCCTTTAATTTGCGGATTCGCCGATAGGGCAATATCACGTGAAATACGCATCGTATGCGCGCGACCGAATCCCTTTAGACGAAATCAAATGTTAATTCATTAAAAGTGCGTATTAACGGCGCGCAGTTATATATGTGGTTAAGCAGGTTATATATTCGCCGATAGATTATTCATACGAGATATCCTCGCTATTAACGGAATGATTTATCACTCGGACGAGATATTGCATTCAAATTTCATTACCTTAATAGGAAGTAAACCCTTAATGGCCACATATGCCGCGATATTCCTACGGGGGTCGATAAATAACCACCGCCAGCCTCGCCCCCTCCCCACCTCTTTCCGTTGCCGGTATAAATCGCGAATCGTTTAAATCTACCGGCCGCTCGGCCGTATCAGGAACTCATTCCGCGGAGAGACGATTTCCACTCTTTCGGCGCGCGAAGCCCGAGGAAAAAATGACGTAGACGAAGCACCGGTGAACTTTGTAAAATACGAGTGCAACCGGCAACGCGATGCACTTCGTGCATCGCTGTGGGCACCTGCATTCGTGACGGATCTACTCGACGAGCGATCCAGCGGAGTTTCACACACGGCCGAAGAACGCGTGTCGGCGATTTATCGCGTTCATATGTGTGCGCCTTCGTACGAAAGCATACACCTGCAGTAAATAGAGGGAGTGCACGGAATAACCCCCGAGCGCTACCACTCGCCATCGAGACGGATGTGACGAAACCCCGGTCGCGTATCGGACATCTTTCTGGTATATTAGTTCCGCACTGTTGATGTGTTCGCCACCGTCCAGAATACGAATTAGTCGTTGCTAAGAAGGAATTATTCACCGGCGTAAATAATAAGACTGCCGGATGTTGCAGCAGAGCTTCATCAATTTATGCCTGTCGAACATCGGTTGAGAATCCGTCATCCGGTACTGAGGTATTACCGGCGAACGATTGGACGCCCACTCGCTCAACGCAACTCATCGTTTTTAGAGATGATGCTTTTTTCCTCTTTTAAAATACTAGCAGCGTGATTTATTCGAGGAAGATAAACGCCATCACAGCTGAGTACTTTCCCGCTCCAGTACGCCGCCCTGGACCACACTAAATCTTTATATATTCATATAAAACTCGCAACATATAACGAATTTGTAAATTGCAAGAGCTGGTAAAAATTAAATTATAATTCACTCATATGCCACATAACAAAGAGAAAATGGTGTTTTCCGCAACGCTATTTGTCACATTTTTTTATTGAATAAAAATTGACTCGTGCACTTTTAATCCTTGATCTTTAACTGAAAGCCACAAAATTAATTGACGACGTAGAGAAACAAATGTCCCTTCACCGGAAACAAGACAATCTCAACCTTCGAATGTAATTTATCGTGCGTCGCTACGACTTTTCTACGCGGAAATATCAACGAGCGACGAATCCTTTGATGACCGAGGCCCGACTACAAATTGTGCATCGCTCCCTCGAAACGAGATGCGAAGTCCACGGCGTGCATTTGCTATGCGTGATGCCGCTCGCCGTACGCCGTTATGCCCTAACATTACAACTCGGGTTATTTGTACAACCTTGCACATAATGCGCATAAGATTGAAAATAACAGGAAATTCTTACAAAAACTTATTTAGACTGATCTGCGCTTGAGATCTGTCTCAGCTTGTTAAATAAATGATGCTTTAATGTATAATAATAATAAGTAAATGTCAAAATATATATGATGCCTGATGTATACAAACATGAAGAAAGGTATCCAACAATCATGACGTGTAAAATATCGTGAAATTGCGAGATAACTGCCTTATTTTCCATAATTTTAATTTACTCCTATATCTTTTGTCCATAATATGTTGCCATATTTCTTATTACTTTTTCCTTAATATTTCGATAATAATCGTGAACGTTAGCTTAAAGAAAATAGAAGTCGATCGGTGATGAAAGATCTCTGAGTAATGGGTATAGCCAAGCTTCATTTATGTGCCGGCTTCGAGGAAAATCGTCGAGCAATAAAGTCGACCCGGGACTATAAATCAGCAAGATGGGCAAAAAATTAAGCGGTAAAGTACTTTCGCTTTACTAGAAGGGAGAGCGCCTCTGAACAGAGAAATTTGCATTTCCTCCCTACTTACCTCGCAGAAGCGGAAACATTTCAACGTTGCCTGCAAGATGAAGAATATTTTCTTATTAAGGAGTCACCGTATTACATTATGTTGATGCATAAATAATGGCTGCTTTTTAATTAAGCTGTGTAACACGCTTTCAAATATTGTAAAATATCTGATATAGTCTTGTAATATATAATTATGCGATTAAATATTTGTGGCATAAATTAAAGAATTTATATGAAATTATACACGATTGAATTAAAACCGTGACAAAAGCCGTAAATGTGCTTTATCATAAACTTTGTTCTAAATATTAAATTTTTCCGACTTCTGGCATATATTATGATCTCCGAGATTTGGCCTGGCAACATTTTCGGGTCATATCGTGGAATGTAGTGATTTTAACTTTTGGCATTCATACGTAGAAATCATAATGCGCCATATATAGTGAAGCTCGGGCAGCATTTAACACAATCTTTGTGTTCTAGTTTATTTAATTCGATCGAAAGTTCTGGGCAACGTTTAACGGTGCCAACAGCAGACAGGTCGGTCCGACTTTTGCCAAGTACTATGTTATCGGTTTATATCGGGGGGAAGTTTCTACTGGTACCAAAAGTCCAGAAACTTTATCGGTATCCTAAAGAACAACTTCTTTTATTTCGTATGGGTCGCTTATCAATCTTCATTTACAAGTTACTTGATCGATGGTAAGTAACGATGTATACGAAAGCGAAGCCTGAGTAAATTCACCGTCCTTCTTGCAAAAACAAATCGAACTTTCATATTCTCAGACACTCATCGCACACATACCGAATCGTGACCGTTCTCTCTCGTCCCTTCACTTTCACCGTGACTTGTAAAAGTAAACGTATGGGAACGAAAAGATAACGCGACTTTCGTTTTCCGTTCACTTTCTCCTTAACTTTTAATTATGACACTGAGATTGCCAGGATATACTTTCACTTTTCGTCAAAACGAAGTTTATATGTCAAGTTAGGAGACATTAGTTAGGAGACGTTGAAGACATTATTCTACGGCTGCAATAACCGTACAATTTAACTAATATGTGAAACGATTTAATTCACTTATCACATACAGAGTTTTACGATAAGTTTGTCACTAGGTGCCAAATTTTCGATGTCGACCCGGTAACAACAGCTAATACAAGCTACCGGATAACAATCGAATGATAGTCTATACAATAACTGACAGATTTTGTTGCGATAACATAAAATTTGCCGTGCCAATTTTTTCTTCTCCGTGCTTTTATGCAAGAATCAAAGATCGACCGAGCGTTCGATCTCGCGACGTCTAACTCTCTCTTATATCGGAATGTCAAGGCAAATTGCTCGCATTCTTTTTCCCTTCCTTAGCGCGACCGTCGCGACAGCCAATCGGCTGATTAACGCACGATGACAAACCGGTAATTAACACTCCCGGTCCGCGTGTGCGAGTCTCGCTGAAAGCATAGCATTAAAACGCGGACAAT